TCCCAAATCCGATGCTAATGCTGGGATTGCCGGGATGCGCATCCTCTGCCGATCGCGTTGTGTTCTGGCCTCTGGACCGCTGCTCTCCCTGGCTTGTTGTTTTTCCCCTTGTGAAACCCCATGAGCTGCTGGCAGGGGAAAAGCTTTCAGGCAGATCTGCAGACTGCTGCGGAAAAATCCCGGCTGGCCTGCAGAGCAGAGGGATTTATTATTTTTTCCTTCTCTGGGTTCCCTTCCCATCGAAGGGGGAAAATTTGGGGATTTCACGCTCTTGTGGAAGTTTGGGATGGACTTTTGCGTGATGGAGTGTAGTGGAGGTAATCCCTCGGCTGGGGTAGGTGGTGGTGCTGGGCTGGATGAGCTTTGATTTGATGTGATTTGACATCTTTAAATCTCTGACAGCCTAAAATCCGGGCTCGTAAATCCGGACTGAGCGTCAGTACTCGGCTGCTGCCGGTCAGTCGGAGGCGACACAGGAGGTTTCCCCCTCTGCCAAGCCGTCGAGGAGAACACGAGCTCTCCACATTGCAGGCAGCTCCCCGCGAGAGGTACACGGTTTAAACCGGCCACGGGAGAGCCGATTCCTCCTGCGAGGAAAGGTCTGAGACGGGGCTGCTGTAAATCCAGAGCGCAGTAGGTCTGTGCTGTGCCTTTAGCCTCATTTCTGCTGTGACATCCAACATGGGTCAATTGTTTTTTTTCCCCCTTCTTAAAAAGAATTTGCTTTTTACCACTTCTCTTTGAGTCTCCCTCAGCCACACAGTCTCCTCGGGGTGAAATCCTACAAAACAACTTCTTCTTCTGCAGGTGGGCTATACTGAAACGCTCCGACTTTGCAGAGGTGCAAACCACCAGCGCTGGTCACCAGCAAATGATGTTTTTCGTACCTGACTCTGCAGGTTCAGCATCTCCCTCTGGCTTTTTCTTTGGGATTATAATGTGCTCCGCTGATAATGTACCCACCAAATTAAGCGTGTCCTTGTGATGGCACATAATTTGTTGAACAAATATAATTTGTTGGCAGGGAGAGGCCGGCTTTGGCAGGCAGCGGCCGTGTTTCCAGTGTGGTTTGAGCCACGACGGAGCAGGACCATCACCTTGCCTCTTTTTTTTTCTTTGCTGGTGCAGGTAGTGGCTGTTAGCCCCGAGCCCTTCCCCGGGATGGTTTCCTACGCCTTTGGTGTGCAGATTGCGGGCGGCTTTTGAACCTCGGGAGCTTGGCTGCCTTTGCGCATCGAAATCCACTGGCTGCTGGACGAGCTCGCTTTCATTTCTCGGCTTTGAAATTGGAAACGCGGCTGTGGGCCTGGTTTTGTTTATCCTGGCTTTTCACGTAAATCGAATCAACCGGCCATGACTCCGATCAGCTCACTGGAGTCGTGGGGAGAACAGCATCGTCTATAGCCGGAGCTAGGGTGGCTTGAAAAACCCATCAGATCCGGCAATAACGGCCCCCGGTTATTCTTAGTACCTCTCGTCTCATCTATCTCCAGCAAGCTTAGTCTGCTGTAATAAAATTCCCCGAGATGTATCCCCTTGATACAACCCCAGAACTCTCTCCATATCTTAACCTTCCCCCCCGCAAGCCGGTACGAACCCTTGGCTCCGCTCCAGCGCGTCTCTCTTACGATATTGCCCCAAACGATATCGATCTGAACCGACCCTTTCATCTGGGTAATCCCATCGAATCGGGCACCGCCTGACTCCTTTCCCCCCACCACCACCACCGCCACCTTCGTTTTTATTTCTAGCTCCCCTTGATAGTCGTTTTTAGAGTCGTTGGGTGAAAGGCTGGTCTGGAAATTCGTGTTAGACGTGCCCTTACGGCCGGGCTTTTCTTTTGTGGCCGCCGATCTCTGCGCGTGCTGCTCCCGTTGCATTAGAGGGCTGAATAAACGGGCTTTAAAAAAATGCTTATAAGGACAGATCCTAAATAGATAGCATCCAGAGCTTGTGTCGGGAGCGATCAGAGGCTGGCATTTCTCTTCCAAACATCCATGGAAGCCGGAGATCTTTGTTTGTTTGTTTTTTTGAAAAGTATGTATCTGCTGTGCGAGCCAGGAAAATCCATCAACTGGAAAAAAAAAAAATAGCTCGGACCAGCTTTAAGCTGCTCATCCTGACTGAATAAACAGCGTCAGCTGTAAAGAGATGTTGCCTTCTATGTTTAGGGGTAGTTAATTGTGCTACACCCTCTGCGCGCTTGAATTTTTATCCCCGAGGAAAGATAATCTGGTACCGGGCTGGATGGTGTTATCAGGGTGTGGAGCTTAGAAACCCAGCCGGGAAGAGTCCTCTCTGCGCTCTCCCTCAGCCCTGACCAAGGCAGCACTTGAAACCAGTGCAGTTGGCTAACGATGTTCTTCTGCCAGCTCTTCAGCCCGGTGGCGAGGAACAGAAGCCGTTTCGTTAGCAAAAACGTAACCCTGGAGAGGAAGGAGCCCTCCCAAGTCAAGTATGTTCCTGCAAGCCTTTGAAACGCCGCTCTGGGAGCTCGGACTGTGCGCAGGTCGTTACGGGGCCCCACGTAATTGAGCCGTGTCCCTTTGATGTCCCTGCTGCCTTCCTCCCTTCGCTCCTCCGCATACTTGAGACCTGAAGTCACAAAGGCTGCCGGTCGCCTTCCCCCTTCGCCTGGGCAGGGCAGGCGTTGCTCTGCCTCCCTCGAGATGCTCCTGACCTTCCCGGGGACGGTGGTGACAGCACCCGGCAGCTCTCCTCTGCTGTAGAGATAAGTGCTATTAATTCTCCAGGTTTCAGCCGCTCTTTGCCCTGCCTATTTCTGCTCAAACACAACATTGCTGAAGCCCTCTCCGGTAGGACGAGCTTGGGGTGCGTCTCGCGCATCCGTAGATATCCCGACTGTCTGGTTGGAAGAGGCTCTGAGAAGCCAACTCTTACTTTGACTTGTAAAATTCAGATTTTGATTATTTTTTTTTTTTTCCCCTGCATTGCAGAATGAAACTCCGCTCATTTACACCTGTACAACGTCCAATAACAGGCAAAGCTTCCTGAAAAACCAGGGCTAGCCTTTGCCCTGGGCTGTTTACACGTTGTTGACTCATTTGGGAACCGTCTCGGTGTCTGAGGCTGGGGTTGACCTTCAGGTTACAGCAGGAGGAGGGTGGCTTTTCTCACCCTGCGCCGTCCCAGGCCTTCCCGAGCAAAGTACCCATCTGTTTCTCCATCCTGGGATGACTAGTTTTAACCTTTTTGGTTTAAAAATAACCCAATTTAAACCCAGCACCTTTCACCCCGTGCTGCCTCGTGGCATCCTCCATGGAGAAGCCCAACCAGCCCGTTCTCTGCAAGTCGGGTCGAAACGTTTCTAGCAGTCTAGTTTGCGATGCTGAGCTCGGGAAAGCAACTTTACGCTCCGCCGGGGAAATATTTAGGCTGGAAACCTGCTGGTGTGAATTAATGAATTGCACACAGCCACAGAATGAGCCAGGAAAACTGGAATTTGGGAACAAAGAGTAACCAAATGTGACCCTCTTCTGGCACTCTCGTCTTTAAGGAGACCTTGGGTATAGCTCTGGCCACACTATAGGTGTTCCCCAGCACAAAAAATTGCTTCCTGCGTGACTTTAATCCCTTTCTCCCCATACCTGTATACCTGAGAGCAGCAGCAAAATGTATCTTTTATTTTTTTTTCCCTGGGGAAAGGCTCAGGGACCCTGTGGCCATCTCCTCTGCGGCTGGCTGGGGGTTGCTTTTTTGGCAACCTCTTCCCACCCACCACCTGGAACCCATCGCAATCGAATTGCTTTTCTCAGCTGCAACATCTTAAAATAGCAGCTCTGGTTTCTTTTAAAAATAGTCTGGGTTCTGCATGTCATTACCTGCTAAAAATGTTTCTCAAAAATCCTATTAGGACATCGGAGGAGAGAGGTCGGTTTGGTGTACCGGCCGTTTTGGAGAGGGTGATGGTGCTTCTGCGGCCACGTGCGCAGCCGTTGCCCTTGAGCTGCCCCCGGTTCCCGCGGCTGGGCACGCACATCCATTTTCTTTCGGGTGATGTCTTAATGATTATTTTGAAAGTGTGACTGCAGAGGTGGAGGAATCTGCCCGGTGCTGGTGACAGCCGTGGGAAGGAGGATGCTCGGACGCGTCAGCCCTGGCTTTAGCTTTTCCTGGGAAGCAATTCAGCACCTAACGCATCCGCGAGGTAGCGGCACAGCGCTGGCAGGCGCTGGGGTCGTAACAGAGCAGCCGTAGGTTGAGAGGCGAGCTTGGCGCTTCGCTGTGCTGCTGGAAAACCTTCGGCGTGCACAGCATTTTCTGAGTGCAGCAAATCGCGACGGCACCGAGCCCAAGAGATCACCTCGTCTTGCTTGCCCAGGTCCTACCCAGGAGGTCCCCGGCCCCTGCGGAGCCTTTCGAACCTCTAACAAGCCAAGCAAAAAGCCTCTTAAATTTTTAGAGGAGCGCTTCATTCCGCAGATTCGAAGAGTGACTGTTAATTCACGCAGCAAAGCATTTAGGGTTTAATCGTGCCACTTCGCAAAAAAAATGGGTTTGGTGCGTGAGTACCCAAGCGATCTACCACGAGCGACGCCGGATGCGTTAGAATTGGTATGCGTTCTCCCTCCTTCCTTGGGGAGAAGTTACTAGGTATTTGGAAGTAATTATTGCTTTTATTCAGCGCTAAAGCAATAATTTCAAGGGATACATTAGAAAGCTAGCAATTTCCTGCCAGTGAGTGACAGATGTTTTGCCATACATGAGATGTGCTTTCGGGCTCCTACTAATTACGATGACACAAATTGGCAGTCGCTTTTCTTCCCAGGCTCCCGACTCGAATTTTGCCTTCTTTTCTGCTATTTTATTATTTCTTTTTTTTTTTTGTTGTTTTTTTTTTTTTTTTTTTTTTTTTTTTTTTTTTTTTTTTTTCAAAGGTGGACTCTCCGTGTTGTCGCACTTTGGTAAAACTGATGCGGAGTTCGGCGGCTGTGTCCGAGCGTGGTTTCCTAACCTTCCCCTTCTCTGTCCCTGCCCAGGTTCGTACCCCTCGCCCAAGGCTGGCGCCACGCTGGTGGTCTACAAGGACTTGCTTGTGCTCTTCGGTGGGTGGACGCGGCCGAGCCCTTACCCTCTGCACCAGCCAGAGAGGTTCTTCGATGAAATCCATACATACTCACCCTCCAAAAACTGGTAAGAGCACATCTGGATACGAAGCCCAGGCTTTGATCCTGGAAAAATGTGTCTGTAATGCAGCTGGAGGAATGCCAGAGGGTGTCTCTCCGAGCCCGCCTGGGAAGCTCTGCACGGTCCTGCTTTCCTCGGTGTGTGTAATCCTGGTGTGTCTGTGATGCTCTTACTGAAACAACAAAAAAAAAAATCCCCAAAAACACAGGAGCACAGGGGAGATGTGGGTTCCGGCAGTGCTGTCGGGCACCTCTTGGGTGGTGGTTGCTTCCATACAGCTCTCAACTCGTACCTAAAATATGCCAGACTCCCTGAGCGTTCCCATCCAGCCAGGTGGAAAATCTGGATGTGAATCTTCTAAATGCGTAATTGATTTGGCCGTGAGCAGTGAGGTCTTTCTGAGGAAAGGAGGAGATAAAGCCTTAAATCCTGGAGGTCTTGCTTTTAGCGATGGTCCAAAACTCAAAGCTCCTGTGGCCCTCCAAGGGAGACACAATAAATCGGGTGTCTGCACCGCTTAAGTGAGCTCTTTGCCTTTAAAGCTCCTGGGCTGTTAATAAAGTATCCAGCAGTGACCGCGGAGGTGGCAGGAATTTTCCTTTCTGCTTTAAAACACCGTTCAGCTGGTTTTTAGACCAGGCTTTCTCACTGATGCTTGTGTGTGAGAAAGGAGCGAATGCTGTGTCAAAGCGGCGCTGGTTCCTGCTCCTCTTTCATTGAGAACTTTTCATCATCAAAAGTGTCAATTAGCCAATGCACTTTTGGGCAGTGTCGTTAGAATGCTGTAATTAAACCGCGTTGGAAATAATTCAGGGCGAACTTAATTGAAAGGGGCGATATTTCCAACTTGGCCTTGTGACTTTGTCATGCTTTAAAAATGTTTAGCGCGTTAGTATTTCTAATTAGTTTCATTATTATTTGGATCTTTGGAGGTTTTCCCTGAGGTTTTCCTCTGTAAAATGTTCTTGAGGACTTTGCCATCCCCTGGGATTTCTCGTTTTGCCATTCATCCAGCGCTTTCCTTTCCGACCCGATAGTGAATGTCTTTCTCTTCCCCCAGGTGGAACTGCATCGTGACCACCCATGGCCCCCCTCCCATGGCAGGACACTCCTCCTGTGTCATCGAAGACAAAATGATAGTCTTTGGGGGTTCGCTAGGATCTCGGCAAATGTAAGTCTGGGGTGAGGGTGTCTGACAAGCGCTCCTGCGAGCAGGGAGTGTGTTGTGGTGGTCCTGGAGTAGCTCATAGCCTTTCGGAAGGAAATCTCTACAGGCTTTGGGAGTCCGTGGGCTGCCTTAGTGCACATTTCGCATCTTGTGTTGAATCCCCTCGAGGCTCCGGCCCGCGGAGAATCCAATTCTGCCATAAAACTCTGCCCTGAACCCATATTTCAAGTGCCCAGAGAGCCTGGTTGTATCGTCACCGCTTCTTCTCTCGTCCTTGCAGGAGCAACGACGTTTGGGTGCTGGATCTCGAGCAGTGGGCTTGGTCCAAGCCCAACATCTCCGGGCCCAGCCCTCACCCACGAGGTGGCCAGTCCCAGGTGAGCTCTCCTTCACTTCACTAGCTCAGCTCCCCAGCACCGACACAAGCTGCCAAAGATAAACCAGACACGGCTTCATTTCCAGCTTCCAGGCAGCTCTCAGCGGGTCGCCTGTAAGCTAGCGCCCGATTTCCAAGTTATCTTTGCAGCCTCTGCCCAACGGGCCCTTGTTTTCTCCAGCCATCTGTTCTGTGAGGGTGCACTTTTAATCTCCCTGACGCTCAGGCAGGTACCGTGCCGTGTCCTGCACGTGACTCAGAACTCTAATGAGCATTTCTAGAAAACAAATTGCTGTTTTCTCCCGGCGATCGTTCCCCGTGGCATTTAAGATCAGTGAAGTGTTATCACAAGTTGGTTTAGCTCGGGGCCCTTTTGATTGCTCCGCTCTCCTGATTCTCGGTTCGAGCGACTCTGCGTTGTGCCTGCTCAAAGCACGGGTCTGGCAGCGCCTGTTTTATTGCCCGCCCAGGGCAGGGAGCTCGTAGGAGTCACTGGCTCAATGTAGGTGTCTCCATCGCAGCTGGCATCCCTGCCTTCCCTTTATGGTGCCCGGTGGTTCCCAGTGCGCGGTTCATCTCAGCAGAGCAACCAGAAGAGATAAGATGGATCGTGCTTGAAAGTTCCTTTCTCTCCCTCCACTGGAAAACAAGATTAAGGGACTACCTCACCCACCACCAGCATCTAACAAGTATTGCTGCAAGCACGTGCCCTCCCAGACAATCCTTCCACCTTCTCCTTTATTTGAAGAGGGGTGTTGAGTCCCTTGCTGGTTGGCTCGGCTTCAGGAAGGGTAATTGCCCTCCTCTGTAAGAGGAACTGGTTTGCGAGCCGTTTGGGACAAGGCAGCGGGGTGAACCCTGCATCCCGCTTTGCCTCAGGCCCAGCAAAACCGGCTCTCCATCCCAACTCCGCTCCTCATCCCAGGGCGGACAAAATTCGGCAGCGTCTGCGCGGCTGAGAAGCCATAACCTGGCTCTGCCTGCACTTGGAGGCCTTGCCGAAAGCGCCGGGGACTGCTTTGCGTCCTTCTCGGTCTGAAACGCTCTTCTTTTTTCCCTTCCAGATCGTAATAGACAACGAAACCATTTTAATCCTGGGTGGCTGTGGTGGTCCCAATGCAGTAAGTATCCTGGGGGCAGCATGGGCGCGAACTGGACGTGTCTCGCCGTAGTTGGATGCTGAACTGGGGAGAGGGAGTACTCTGCACGTTACCCAGGTGGCATTTTATCCTGCAGATCTGGGCACCCACGCAGTAGATAATCCAAAGAAGCTGTCTAGCTATTGCTAGAGCTGCTTTAATTAATAAAAAAGCACCCCAGGCACTATCTGAGCTGCTCATGAAGTTAATTGAGCCTCGGAAGAACGAGCCCTGATCTTATATTGGGGTAGAAGACGGAGATGAAGGGATTTGTCCGTGGCCAGAGTAGGGTGTAGTCACTCCAGGGCGGTCAGGTCCTGATCTGGGTCACCGTTCCTCTGTCTGCAGCAGCAAAGCACCACTCCTCCCTCTGATGCGATGATCTCGGCAGCGAGCCAGGCTCCTAAATCTCAAACTGGGTTCCTAAATCTGTCACGCTTGTCTTCACAGCTCTTTAAAGACGCCTGGTTACTGCACATGCACGCCAACCCCTGGACGTGGCAGCCCCTCAAGGTGGAGAACGAAGACCACGGAGCCCCGGAGCTGTGGTGCCATCCTGCCTGCAGGGTACGGCCGCGGTGGGCTCTCTGCTCTCTCGTATACATCCCTTGATCTTTATTGCCTGCCCAGAATGCTCCATCCCCCTCTATTTTCCCCCCGATACAGCGCAAGGTGTCATCCTGCCGTTTGTGACCTCTTATCTCCCCTTCTCCTCTTCCAGGTGGGACAGTGCGTCGTGGTTTTTAGCCAAGCTCCCAGCGGGAGAGCCCCGCTGAGTCCCAGCTTGAACTCTCGCCCCTCTCCCATCAGCGCCACGCCGCCCGCCCTGGTCCCCGAAACGCGGGAATACCGCTCTCAATCTCCCGTCAGGAACACGGACGAAGCTCCCTGCGTCAACGGCCGCTGGGGCACTTTGCGACCCAGAGCGCAACGGCAAACCCCTTCGGGATCCCGGGAAGGCAGCCTCTCCCCGGCGAGAGGGGACAGTTCCCCTGTACTCAACGGTGGGAGTTTATCGCCCGGAGCCACGGCGGCCGGCGGTGCCTCCTTGGACAGCCCCGTGCAGCTCGTATCGCCCAGCACTCCTTCCGCGGCTGAAGGATACGACCTAAAAGTGGGGCTCGCCCTGGCACCGCGACGAGGATCACTGCCGGAGCAGAAAGACCTGCGTTTGGGATCCGTCGACTTGAGCTGGGAACAGAAACCGGCTTCCATCATCTGCCAGATGGACGGTGTGGAGGGCAGGACAGTCAGTGCGAGCGTGAGGAACCCCCCCGAGCAAACCAACGGCATCCACACGCCTCCCCACGTCCCCCCCTCCCTGCCGGGGGCTGTCTCTCCCGGCGCGCTGCGGAGGAGCTTGGAGGCCGTCAAAGCCCTCTCTTCCAAAGCCTCCTCGGCTTCTGCCGCCTTGAGCCCTCCGCTGGCTTCTTCCCCCGCTGGGGGGGAGCTGGGAGCCCGTCAAAGCCCTCTCCTCCAAAGCCTCCTCGGCTTCTGCCGCCTTGAGCCCTCCGCTGGCTTCTTCCCCGGGGTCTCCGAGTGCCGAGACGGGCTCGACAGCGCGTCCGGGCTCTACGCAAGGCGACGGCCATTCCTTACCTCCCATCGCCCGCCGCCTGGGCCACCACCCTCCCCAATCCCTCAACGTGGGGAAGCCTTTATACCAGAGCATGAACTGCAAACCCATGCAGATGTACGTGCTGGACATTAAAGACACCAAGGAAAAAGGACGAGTCAAATGGAAAGTGTTCAACAGCAGTTCGGTGGTGGGACCGCCCGAAACCAGTTTACACACGGTGGTGCAAGGCAGAGGGGAGTTAATCATATTCGGTGGCCTCATGGACAAGAAACAAAACGTGAAATACTATCCCAAAACAAATGCCTTGTACTTTGTGCGAGCGAAAAGATAATGCGGCCCGAGCCCTTCGCCGCCATCCACCTTCTCCCCTCCCTTTCCGCGGCTCTTCCCTCTCCTTTCCAAGCCCTTACTCTGTCACACAGGCGTTCAAACTGTGAATTAGGGAGCGAGAAACCAATAAAATCCCAAGAAAAACCTCCAGCGCTGCCCAGCCGGTTCCCGGTAAGAGCCCAGTTAAGCGAATCGTGTTTACAGGCGGGGAAGGACCCACGCCGCCGCGATCCAAGCCGAGGATTTTTGGGGGTGAGCAGGTAGGGAAATCTGCCATCCAGTATCCTCTTGAGGTTGGGTTTTATTTTCCGGGGGTTTGAGAGGCTTCGTGTCTCTCCAAAACTCCTCGTGGGACGTGAGTAAAAGGGGTTTTATACGAACAACCCAAATACCGGCAGGCGGGAGGCTCTCTGCTTGCCCGCGCTCGTTATTTCCGTGCTTTGACTCCCTAAGGAAAACAACAGCAATACCCCACCAGGAATGAATCTTCCAGCACTGCAAACTTTTGCTCGACACAAACACGATGCCTTTTTTTTTTTTTTTTTTTCCTGCCTCTCTCCGTCCTGTCCTCCCTACAGGACCGTAAGAAGGAAGAAAGAGACCTTTCTTTTTTTTTTATTTTTTTGCATCAAAATGCCAAAAATACTACAAATTAGCCGGGTGTTAGCGTCCCCCTCTCCCTGCCCTGTGCTGGATCAGCCCTGATCCCTCCTGATCCGCCAAAAAAAAAAACCCCAAACCATACCACTTACTCTCAAAATCCCATTATTTCCCCCAAACTGAGAAATTTGGCTGCCCGCTCCCTTCTAGACTTGAAGGTTTCGTTTCGCTCAACAGCCCAAACCCCGTTCAAGGCTGAACCAGCACCTCGTAGCCTGGGAACGGGGTTGTTTTTTGGGTTTTTTTCCAGCCTAAAAGGATGAATTTTGGTAAATTTGAGGGCGCGAGCAGCCTCGGCGGCAGTAACCGCGCCTCGTTTTTCCACGTGCCTCCTTCCGCAAAGATTCAAACAAATACAAATCCGAAGGGATTGAACCTGCGCGTCCTTCTGGGACAACTCTCCCTCCTTCCCTTGCTGGAGATGATGGGGGGGGGAAGGGGGGGCGGGAAAATTGAGTGGATTCTGCCAGGTTTTGGTCAACAACCTCCAGCACCTGAAAAAGAGGGAATCCTCCCCAAACCGGCAGTGCCGTGACGTGGCCCCTCTTTTACTCTCAATTTTTTGTTTCGGGGTTGTTTGAGGTGGGGTTCCCCCCCCCCCCCACTGAGCTTTTTGCCGGTCGGAGCCTTAAATCGCATCCCAGCCGCGGTGGGGATGGGGGAGGATTGGTTTTGGTTTGGTGGGGTTTTTTTTCCTTGGTCTGCACGGCGTTTCCACCTCTGTAAATAAATCCCTCGTTAAATCCAACCCTCTCCCGCTCCGATCCCAAACCCGGTCGATTTATCCTAAGGGAAGGCAACATCCAATTTTTAACCCCCGCCCCAAAACCTCAGGAGCACCTAAGGTGATCTACGAAATATTTTCTTCTCCCTTTTAAGCGTTTCGCTGCGGGGAGGGCGGTCGGGGCTTCGGCATCGATTCCCTCCTCCCCTTTGCATGTCTCTTGTCATTCACCCAAAAAAAAAAAGGTTTAAAAAAAAAGGGGGATGGACAGCGGATCGTTGGGTTGACGTCCCTCTCCTTGCAAGAGCATCCCTCGAGGGGCGTTTTCCCAGTTTTGACCTGGTCTCCCTCCTCAACCGGTCCCAAAATCCCCTCTTAAATGACCCCAAACCCGCCGGAGAGGCCGGGGCCATCCCTCCTCCATCCCCGTCGGTCGCGGAAAGGCATGTTCTGCACCGTTAATGATAAATTCATCCCAAATTTTCACACCCCGCCTTCCCCGTGAGCCGCTGGTGCTGTGAGCGAGGTGTGTCGTCCCATCCCGTCCCCGTCGTCGTCCCGGGCTCGGCCGAGCGTAGGAATGAAAAGCGATTTTCGGTGATATTTAAAATCTTGTTTACATTTTTTTTTTCTTTTTTTTTTTTTTTTTTTTTTTTTTTTTTGGGGGGGGGTGTTAATGGGTTCCCCCCTCCCCATCCCGATGAATTTTTAGCAGTTTAACAAATAAAAAGGAAAAGAAACAGATGGCTGGTCCTTTTGGGGAGGGGGGTTGGAGGGGTGGAAGTGCCACGGAGGGACACCACCACCCCCCCGGTGTGAGTTTGGGGGTGAACAGGGGCATTTGGGGTCTTACTGGGTAAATAAAGGGCAATATTTCTACCGGGGGATGTTAGAGCAATGGGGGGGGAAATGGGGGGCACGAGGTTTGGGGGAGGAACGGGAGGGTTCAGAGAAGGGGGAAGAGTGCTGGAAAGTGGGGAACCCAACACCTTCCATGGGGCTGGAAATCGGGGATGGGGGACTCCAGAGCCTGGCAGCGGTGCTAATTAGGGATGGGGACCCCAGAACCTGCTGAGGCTGGAGATTGGGGACCCCAAAGCCTTGCAATGTCGGTAATTAGGGATGGGGACCCGAAAACCTGTTGGGGCTGGAGACTGGGGACCCCAAAGCCTGTTGGGGCTGGAGATTGGGGACCCAAAAGCCTGTGGGGCTGGAAACTGGGGACCCCCAAAGCCTTGCCGT